TCTCCCGATTCCAATTATTTCAAAGATGCTGATCTTTCAATAAATTCCACATCACAACGTAGCAAGCGTTCTGAACGGTGCAGAAAATACCCGTGAGAGGTACCATAAGAAAGAATATAAGTACAAATAAAGGTAATCGCACCCGAATGGTACTTTTTCTAGTTGGTACCGACTGTAGATAAAACCTAATTATCACAGTAGAAAAAAATAGTCTTAACAGTCAAGGAACAATATCATACCCAAAGAAAAGGGGTAATCGATTCATTTCGCTTCAAATACGAGCAGTTGTGGGGGTTAGTGTAGCATCATATGATATTGTCAAACCCACATGGTTTATTCTACCTTAAGGACAAGTCAATCTATTAATTCTTCTTAAATCACATTTTGATCTTGTCACTTATTGGCTTATTTATTCTGACTGTTCTTACATGAGCTTATGTAGATGCATTGATTATCCTAATCATCACATGTCTGTGGCTATAAATATTGATTAACGCTTGATTGGATCGAGTCGGCTCACTTGCATTCTTCAATCTGCTTTGCTCTTCCCTCTTTGTTTCGTCTCCCTGATTCCATGTTCAAGTCACCGAATGTATGAAATATACATATTCAAAATCCATTCTCGTATTTGGTTTATTTAATTCCGTTATTCAGTAACGCGAGTTAAGTCGATAATTATATACGAGGATAGACGATATGTACATTTCAATAACAATCCAAATGAAGGCTACAACACAGTTATCTAGAAAGCGATGATTAAATGAAAAATACAATTACCGGGGAAAAATAGCAACCATACCCAAAACAAACATGAGACGTGCTTGAAAATCGACCGTATGAAATAGGGTAATCAGTTTGTAAAATATCAACTAAAGTATGATAGTCCAATCTGGCGAGCGTCATAAAAACAGTGTAAAGCAAAAGAAATATAAGACGGTTATTACAAGACTCAACAATATCAAGCAAACAGTTAGGATTTAGAAATTATAAACAATGTAGTAGTAATAACTACATTTATTCTTAGGATTGGGAATGCCTATACGAAATACGGACAACAATAAGACATACAGTACATAGTACAAGAATTATTTTATTTTATTTTATTTCAACACATAGATAATGGTACAAAGAGGCACCAAATACATATGCGCCACACACATCTCATTCGATATGAGTGAGGGCTGTGATACTGCCCGGGTGCCCAAACCGAAGCAGGTGGTTTTCTTAGGGGGCTACACCACGAGCCTTCGACCTGAAGATCTGATCCACAAGGCAGTGGAGCATCGTAAGGAGATGCAGTCCCATGTTAGCCGCTGACCAACAATTGGTTCATACGCCATTTGTTCCCTCAGGATACTGGAGCCCATGTGCACTAATGGTTTGGAATCCGGTTAAAGCACCGGACATTCGCTTTTCGTCCTCTCATTTTCGTAAACAACGCCCCCGCCACGAGAAGGCAGTGAGTAGGACTTCCCTGGCAGAGGCTGTATACGCGTGGCCGTGTGGGAGTATTTCGAGAGGGAGAGCGGACTCTCCCCACTCTCGACCGTATCAGGGCATTTAGGGGCCACAAAGAATACAAAGGGCTAGTCATAATTAGAAACAGACACATGTTTTTTTCCATATTTGCATATGACCATACAAAAATGAATCCTGCAGCGGTATTCAGTAGGAACTCATTTATTCAATACAAAGTCTAATAAGGCTAATCAGTTGAGTATTTGGTAATGCACTACCAAATCTGCATGTTATTTCAGGTCTAGGTGTAACAGTGAGTTTAAAAGGTGTGATGTATTGATCGGAATGGTTTTATTCCATTGTTATTTTGATCTTATTGAACTCACTCAGTCCTTATACTTGAATAAAACATTGGAGCGATGTTATTAGGAGTGTGAATTTTACTCATCATTTTGTTATTTATATTACTCTATAATTTTCAGTCAGTCGATTACATAAGCGTTATTTTGAATCGGTTACCATCTCAGTGTTGCTGTTGGAGAATAAAGCTTTCTGGCCAGTTAATTTATTTTGTCTCAATCGCTTGCTGATATATTATATGGTGTCCCATGTCCCATGTTGGCCAGTCGTCTTATTATCAAGTTCCGAGTTAACAATTAAACCCCAGTATATAGCTGATTACTCGGTGTTCAGCCAGACAGAACAACCGAGGCAAGCAAGAATAAAGATAAATGCAGTTGCTGATTTATAGTCCCTACTTACGCAAATAATGAGTGTCACCCGAGCAAAACAAAAGTCGGGTTCTACGGACGATTTACCGTTTCTTCTAAAAAAAAAACTGGCAGACCATGTTAGAATGAAAAAAAAAACTAGGGATAAACCTACAATGTTTCAATTAAGATAAAACGTAACTGTAAAGACTTGTTCCAAGTACTTACAAATAACCGTTTACTTCACAATCTAAGGTAAAGATATACGGAAAGGTATGTTTGTATGGACATTTGATTCCAATTCCGAAAAAAGTATATTTTGATAATCAGTCTAAAGACAAATAGGAAAATATACATTTGCCAGATCAATGTTCAAAGATTTAATACATCTGAGTGTGACCTGTATTTGTATCAGAAATACAAACAAACTCTACTTAACAACGCGTCGTATTTTCTAATCTGTTGAAAGTATATCTGATTTAAAGATACTTGAGCTTGTTTGAAATGCTAATTATATAATTAAAAAACGAAGTAAATCTCCAAAGTCACTGATTTTATTTTTATAGCTAAAGAAGATAAATGATTATACTGATTTAACCTATAAGACCATTATCAGTATAGGGGTTGAGATTATTAACTTTTTGATTGAGATCATGAACTGATTGATGTTAGACCACCGTTGGAAACCTGGAAGCACTGGAAGGCCATTTCGTCCTATTGTAGGACTCCTCAGTAGTGCGCATCCTCAATCCCGCCTCTCGAGATTCGAAACCAGGGCCTTCAGTACGCATGTGCTCACTAGTGACTAGCTTCCCGAGGGAATTCTCTGAGTTCTAGTGAGAAGCGGTGACCAGTGGAGCTAACCCGTGTCGGATAGAGACAGGTATCTATCTCAGTGCAATGGAAAATGGTCGCGCAATCACGTGGATTGGTTGATGTCAGACACTCACACCATTGGATACCGGCTGAGTGGTCCAGTAGGTTAAGCGTTAACACGAGAGACTGGGAGCCCTGGGTTCGAATCCAGGAAGCGGGATCGTGGATGCGCACTGCTGGAGAGTCCTGAAATAGGACGAAACGGCCGTCCAGTGCTTCCAGTTTTCCAACGGTGGTCTAACACCAAGCAGTTCACGATCTCAATCAAAAACTATGAGACTACTGTTAGCTTATATTGCGCATACCTATTTTCCAAATATATTATAATTTGTAAGGTTATAGTTTATTAACTTTACATGATGTTAAGACCGGCTAGTTACCACGTGATTTATCGGCCAATCGAAATACGACTTATTCAATCTTAGTACTGTGCCAAATCAATGACGTTCGACCAATATGAGCAGCCTAGCCTTCTTATTGGTCCTTTGTTCGCCTAGCCCATCCAGTTGAGTCCAGAACGCCTATACTAGCTTCCACCGTACAAATCATTTATTTCAAAAATGCCTTGTTTATATATAAGCCAAACGGACCATATCGCATCATAAAATTGGAAATGACATTTGTACAAGTTCAAGCCGAAAAGTGGTTGTGATCGTTGGAGACCGTCATTAATAAACTGAGTATAATTTAAGAACTGTAAATCGTATAATAATAATCTATGGGTCAAAATGAAGCTTATAATAAGATGAATTTAGATATACCTAATCTAGTTACTGAATAATTATACCATAAGAATATATAGGTAAAATTAATCCAATTATTAGTTCTCATAAGTTACCCGTAATTTAATCTTCACTAAGATATAACACATGGGTTGGGAGTTTACATAATTTCGATCGCCTCCGAGAAACAAATTCTTGGCTTTCGATATTCTTTATGTTGTCACACCGTTGAACAGGTAAATACCTCAATAACATGTGGTTTATTCTAACTGCTATGTTTGAAGAGATTACGAGTCCACCTAATCTGAGAACGGAACGAAGACTCTGTAACACAATAATTAGTAAGCTAATTATGCCGACACTTCTCAGTCCCGCTAACTAGACAGAGAAGTCTAAGTTCAGAAGAGGGGATTATATTCCATAAACAGTCAGAAGCACGAACAACAACAATAAGCACAACGCAAGCGTATATATACAGCATAAAAATGTCATTGGGAAACGGTACAAAATTGCATAACAAAAGAGATAACGTAATAATAGCAATTAAGGTCCTCCCAAGTAGGAAATACGAATTGATGGTGAAAATGGGTGTTTTTGGTACGAAAACAGGAAATCCAAAATTTTAAAATAGAATTATCAGGTGAGTTCTGGGGATCTAACATCCCCATCGATAACTACCAATATATAAACTGTTACGTAGTTGCTACGAGTAGGAGTTTAACTTACGCTGTATATATTATTGTTTTAAAAGATTTTAAACAATGTATCAGTGCTACTTATTGACTAATTGATCATTTATTTTGATAATCGTTAATAACTAAAGTGTTTTTGGATAGGGTTTTGTTCTCTGAAACTCCACCTGGAGTCCCTCCGGGGGCCACTGCCCGTCCCAAGCCCCGATAGAGGAGGAGGGTTGGGCATGGGGTTAGCGATCCCATCCCGTAGAAAACTAACTCGCTAGAGAAACGCTAACCAGAAAAAATTATTCAAACCTTTTATTCTCTGAGCTGAATGGTTTAGTCGTGGAGTTTTCATCGTTCTTCTGAATGTTTCTAATTAAAATCGATAGTTTTATTACGTAACACAACAACACGGAAAAAGATAACAGATACAAATTACATTGGTCATCTTAAAAACGCATATCAGTAATAACACCTCCATAAATGAATTAAATTAATAACCAATCAGAATCAAACCAGTATTTCAGTTGACCAAGTGTCACGGTTCCAAAAATTATTATCCAATCAGAGGTTAACATTTTTTTAATTATTTAACCAATAGGATTTCTCAATCTGATCTATAAAAAAAAACGGAACAACTGAGTCAACTTAATTAACCCTAAACGTACAGGACTTTCGTTCGTTGCCGCTCTTTTTGCCGGTGCAACTCACTCCAAAATGGTATATTTTCGTTTGAACCCACTAATTAATATATGTTTTTTTAGAGGGAATGTATTAGCGTACATGTTGGTCAAGCTGGAGTTCAGATGGGCAATGCTTGTTGGGAATTATATTGTCTGGAACATGGAATTCAAGCTGATGGGCAAATGCCGAGTGATAAGACTATTGGAGGTGAAGATGATTCATTTAATACATTCTTCAGTGAAACTGATTCAGGAAAACATGTTCCAAGAGCAATATTTGTAGATTTAGAACCCACTGTAGTAGATGAGGTTCGGACTGGTACTTATCGTCAACTTTTTCATCCTGAGCAATTGATCACTGGTAAAGAAGATGCTGCAAACAATTATGCACGTGGTCATTACGCAATTGGGAAAGAGATTGTTGATTTGGTGTTAGATAGGATTCGTAAACTTGCTGATCAGTGTACCGGTCTTCAAGGGTTTCTGATATTTCATTCATTTGGTGGAGGCACCGGTTCAGGTTTCACATCTTTGTTGATGGAACGACTGAGTGTTGAATATGGGAAGAAATCAAAGCTTGAATTTTCTATTTACCCTGCTCCACAGATTGCAACTGCTGTTGTTGAACCTTACAATTCTATCTTAACAACGCATACAACTTTGGAACATTCGGATTGTGCATTTATGGTTGATAATGAAGCAATATATGACATATGTCGGTAGGTTGCACACTTTATATATTTAGCCTATGATCAGTCGTAATTTAGGCATTGGACGTCCAACTTATACGAACTTAAATCGCTTAATTGGTCAAATAGTGAGTTCTATTACAGCTTCTCTGCGTTTTGATGGAGCTTTGAATGTTGATCTCACTGAGTTTCAAACGAATTTGGTCCCTTATCCACGTATTCACTTCCCATTGGCAACATATTCACCTGTGATTTCAGCTGAAAAAGCATTTCATGAACAGTTAAGTGTTGCTGAGATTACTAATGCCTGCTTTGAGCCAGCAAATCAAATGGTCAAATGTGATCCTCGTCATGGTAAATACATGTCCTGCTGCATGTTGTACCGTGGTGATGTTGTTCCAAAGGATGTGAATGCAGCCATTGCCACCATTAAGACGAAACGGACAATTCAATTTGTTGATTGGTGCCCTACTGGCTTTAAAGTTGGGATCAACTATCAACCTCCTACAGTGGTTCCAGGTGGTGATTTAGCAAAGGTACAACGTGCTGTTTGTATGCTAAGTAATACAACAGCGATCGCAGAAGCTTGGGCTCGTTTAGATCACAAATTTGACTTGATGTATGCAAAACGTGCATTTGTCCATTGGTATGTCGGTGAAGGGATGGAGGAAGGCGAGTTTAGTGAGGCTCGTGAAGATCTTGCAGCTTTAGAGAAGGATTATGAAGAAGTTGGGGTTGATAGTGTTGAGGGTGAGGGTGATGGGGAAGAATACTGAATAACTGTGAGATGTTACCTATTCCCAATAAATTTATCTCAGCAACTAGGTGTTTTTCAGATTCTTCCAAAACGTTTCACGCCTTAGAGATAGTTTTTACTGATAATAACTGATAATTTACTAATACAGTAACTGATCGAGGACTTATCTTAAGGAAAGTAGTTTGTTTATTCCAGTGGTAAGCACAGCCACGTAGATTTGTGGGCCTTCCGTCCGACAGTGGTACACACAGTGTGCAAGGCATTAGGCGCATCATCATAGACGATTCCGTTATTTTATTTCCGACCATCTCCAATGATGGCACGGTGAAGCCTTCAGCGGCCTAGAAAGCAGGATTTTTCTGGATAGGGACAAAGCTGTAGCCCAATAAGACCTGAATGTTTTTGTTGAGGCGGTCGCTTCGTTTATCTATAGCTTTTTGCCTGAGTTACGACGAAATTCCCCATGTTGATCAGTAATAAGCGTCCTATGATAAAGACTCCTACCTCGATTTAATCTTAGTGTGGTACTTATCAATTGCGAAAATACTATACACCTGATCATTTCTATATATATATCCAGGGATCTGTTTGAAAATGTATTACTGTGATTTGTATCAAGTGTTCTATGTTTAAAACAAGATTTATAGTGTTATGGTTTTGCACGTAACCAATAAAATTAACCAGATTGCAGCTTAAGACCGTTTGTTGGTATGGCCTAGTGACAAGAGCAGGGAAAATTAAAAGTACCGGGTAAACATTGGATAGTTTTTCAACAAGCCATCAATACTTGACTCTATGAAGCGAATAGACAATTCGCAAATTATTTAAATGGTACAACTTAGGGAGTGGGATTATTCACAACTCAATCTCATTTCTGAACTAGGAAGCTACATCATCAATCGAGTTAGCAACGAGAATCATTTTTACCATAACACTGATGTTGTAATGGCTGTGCTTCGATAATTAATCACCCTCAAACCGTTATCGTATAATCTTCAACGATGTTTGAAATCAGAAGGCAAAAAGAAGCAGCCACTACAGTTTATTTAGCAGATAATTCGGACCAGACAGCAGAGGCAAAATGAATGAGCAAGCGAACTACGATTGTAGCAGTAGCAAGTGGTTGTAGTAGTAGTGAATGCGTGCAAATGTATATATATATATATATATATATATATATATATATATATATATATATATATAGGAAAATGGATGAGTCAGCGGATAGATTAAGCAGTTAATAATGAGGCTACCAGAATGAATATATGCGTAGGCGCTAAATAATGTTCAAGCATATGTATTTCATACAAGCATAATAATAAAGATAGTACAACAAGTTGTTATATCATGGATGACTTTGTCCATTAAATAGGTCAACAAAAGACCTTGACTGAACTAAACTCAATTGCACGTGAGTCGCTATAATGTCTTGCGTATTTGGACGCTATACTCCTCTCCTAAGCTATTCTGTAACCCCCAAGCTAGAACTGCACAGCGACCTGAACACGAGAGAGATTCAAAGTATGCGACAAGTAGTTTACTCCAAGGTTCATTTTAATACAAAAAAATACAGGGTTTTTATAGTATTTTAAATGTCCTTGGGTCGCTAGAAGATTCTGGAATGCCACTAAACATAGAAGCAGTGTAGCAAGCAGCCAATCAGAACCTCTGCATGTGACGTTTCACTTCCTTGATATTTTTGGCAAAAACTTCAAGTGAACGCTGATTGGACGGAACTCCTCTTAGTGATTCCTGATGCTTGTTTGTCTTTTGCAAGCAATTTTCTGGATCACTCCAACAAATAGCAACGAAATATACCATTCTTATTACTTTGTAGTCGTGTTTCATTTGTTTCGTGAAACTTTTAAATAGTAGACGGTACTTGTATTGGCAGCTGAATGAATTTTATTAAGAACTCAACTTTTACCATACTCCGTGATAAGTCGTATCGATTGAACGCTATATTGGTTTCCTAAGTTATTCTGGTACCCCGAAAGCTAGAACTGCACAGCGACTTGGATACCAGAGAGAAGACGCAAGCATGGGGGAAAATACTTTACTCCGAGGTTCATTTTATTACATAAAATATAGGGCTTTTATAATATATATAAATGTCCTTGGGTCGCTGGAATATTCTGGAATGCTACCAAACATAGGTAGCACTGTAGTAGCCAACCCATCAGAGCTTCCGCATGTGACGTTTCGTTACCTTGATATTTCTGGCCAAGACTCCAAGTGAACGCAGATTGGACGAAACACTTCTTAGTGTTTCTTGATGCTTGCTTGTCTTTTGCAAGCGATTTCTGGATCACCCCAACACTCCGGTGATACAATATGAAATAATTTACTTGCAAAAGTCATTAATGTTCATAATGTTACCTGTAAATAATTAGCCAACTATTCGACTCAACGACACTAGTCTATTCAATATGTTTGATTGAATTTATAAACATTTACACAAGTTGTATGTTTTGTTGGGATATTCAAGAAAATATCCCAAAAATTATTCTGTTAAGTCTAACGACATCCTTGGACTTGAGACGGTATCATTTTCCTACTGGTCAATATTGTACAAATGTTATTTTCTATTTTATGGTACGATGTGGTTTGCTTGATTGGTAATATAAACAGAGTATGTTTGAAATAAATGATTCATATCTCCGAGGCTGAAACTTGTGTTCTGTACTCACCTGGCTGGGCTAGACAAGGAAGCAGGACTAGTCAGAACCCTAGGCCGTTCTTTCGTGTTTGCGTGTCTTTGGTCCGACCGACAATTTGCTGTCCTCTAATCTGCCGTCACAGATATAGCATGTTTAGAATAAGTTTATTCATGAGAACTGATTGATAATGAGTTTTCTCTTCACTCCATGTATCTAAACGATCAATCAAAGTACTGATACATTGAATGAGTGCTTTTTGTATTAGCCTAAATTACTTATACAACCAAATAATACCTTTGAATGATTCCAATTAAGTAAATCTAACATACCTATGTGTATACAATAAATAAAGGTGACTAAATGTGTATGCACATTGTTGTCTGTCACTTTTTATTGATGTTTCGAAAGTAGGCTGAAGTATTATTTGAATTCTCAAGAATAGTATCTACCTATTTTGATGTAACCTGTTAAATTTATCATATATTTTCATTGTTACCAAGATCATTGATAATGTAGGTTGGCTTTAATAGAATGAAGTTAAAATAACAAAAGATTTATTAGATTGAGTTAATTATTGTTTATAAATCAATCATTATTAATAGTAATATTATTAAACTACTTTTTTATTGAATAAATAATTTTAATAGGTGGGATCATGAGTCAATTGAAGCTAGATCACCATGGAAAGCCTGGGAGCACTGGACGACCGTTTTGTCCTAGTTTGGGACTCCTCAGCAGTGCGCATCCACGATCCTGCCTCGCGAGATTCGAAACCAAGGACCTATCAGTATCGCGTGCGAACGCTTAACCTCTAGACCATTGAGCCTGAGTTCGAACCTTGTGAAGTGGGATCGTGGATGTGCACTGCTAACGAGTTCCACAATATAGGTGTCATTACCAAGGTTTGATTTGATAATTTCGAATAAATTGAGCATTGGGTTGATTGTTATAAATAAAAATAATATATTTGTAATATCCCAATGAGTAGAAAAATTGGATTTTCCGATGTTTCGTGACTTAGTGTAAGTCACTTCTTCAGAGAATAAATAACCAAATTAAAATTAATTCAAGTTTAAATAGTACAACGGAACAATGCAAGAATATTAAATGTGATCAATCAAAAAACATGTCTGAACAAGTTGATGTCATGTCATTTCAGTCAAAGTGATTCGTAAGTGATATGTATGTAAATTTGTGTGTGTATGTATGTGTGCATTGTGACCTTTATGGTAAGAAAGGATAGAGTTTAAATTTGTAATATGAAAGTGTGAAATTGTAAATACGATCAGACTGAATGGTTAGGATAGATGGTCCAAGTAGGATGTATAGTAAGACCTTCCTTTCTATTGAGAGAAGTAATATTAAGCATTATATGGAACGCCTCTGCTACCCTTCTTTCTTTGTAGTTGGAAAAGCCTTTTTGCAATATTTTGATATTTTCAAAATCGATTTAGTGGTTGTTGAAAATGGCATGTACTGCTATTGCCGATTTAATTTGAAGTTGGTTCAATTCTACAGGATTGTTAGGAGGTTTCTTTGTGTACCTAATATGTTCTTTGGCTCTAGTCACGATTTCGCGGGATGACTCTCCAATATAATAGGCATCACAATCAATACAACCTAATTTGTAAACGCGGTTCTGTGTGGACATGAAAGGGAATTTTTCTTTCAGGCGAACTAAAGTATTACGTAGTGTGTTCGTTGTTTTTTTTTGTTCCACAATAGGACGAAACGGTCGTTCAGTGCTTCCCGGTTTTCCATGGTGATTTAGCTTCAATTGAATCATGGTTTCAACTATTAAATTACTATAATATCCATAAAAAAACCCTTCTGAGAATAAATAATTGTTACACGGATTCGGTTTATACACCGAAACTGCCCATGGTCATTTCGGATTGAGTTTATTTTATTTTAACACATAGATATTGGTACAAGGAGGCACCAAATACATATGCGTCACACAAATCTCATTCGATATGTATGAGGGCTGTGATACTGCCCGGGTGCCCAAATTGAGGCAGGTGGTTTTCTTAGGGGGCCACACCACGACATGAAGGTCTGACCCACATGGCAGTGGAGCATCGTAAGTAGATGCAGCCCCATGGTAGCCGGTGACCAACAATTGGTTCATACGCCATTTGTTCCCTCAGGATACTGGAGCCCTTGTGTACCATTGATTTGGAATCCGGCTACAGTACCGGACATTTGTTTTTCGTTCTCTCAATTTCGTAAACAACGCCCCCGACACGAGAAGGCAGTGAGTAGGACTTCCCTGACAGAGGCTATATACGCGTGGCCATGTGAGAGCATCTCGAGAGGAAGAGCGGACTCTCCCCACTCTCGGCCGTACCAGGGCATTTAGGGGCTTTACAATCATCTGAATACTATTATCAGAAACTAATGTAACGGTAAATGTTAATTTCTTGACATAGTGTATCTCTCTAAATGAGATTATTGACTATATGCTCTTTACACCGATATTCTAGTCACCATATTCATATGTAAGAGGTAGGATATCAAATGATATATAGGTTTAAATAAATTTAAAATCTGTATATTGTAACCCAAAATCGACTTTTAGAAATAACAATTTTGCCAAGCAATTCATATATTCAATTCAGTCTCGAAGATGATCAACAAGGTAACTCACCAGATACGGATTTGCGTAGGATTATCTGTCAATGAACAAATGATACTATTGGGCTAGGTAGTATGTGGTTAGAACATGCGACTTACCGTTAAACGATTAGTGATTTAACCACTAATCTATTTCTTTACAGTATAACCAGCTATCATATTAATAATGTGTTCAGAGGATAATATATCGTAACCCAAACTGAATCCAAAGAATAAATTGAAACACTATACTAGCTGAGTAAGATTTTCAGCTGTTAAACAAGTAACTATGGCTAGAATTCCCTTAGATTAGTATGGATGTGGTTACTGAACTGTGGTAAGATTTGTGCTTTTCTGTACAGAACTCATTAACATCTTCGAAAAAGATAATATCCAATTTCATTATAAGATAATATTGGCTAAATATTTATGTCATTCTTGAAAATTAACTGTCGAAGTATAACCGTTTTCATTTAATGAAGGAAAACTGATGATGGCTTATATATTAACGAAGTATGTTTAAAATATATGATTCATACAGTGGGAGCTGTTATTAACGTTCTGGACTCAATAAGCAGGGCTAGTCAGGATAAATTTCAACAAGCACACTAAGCTGAACAAATCGATCAGTATGTCATTGTTGTGGCATAGTGTTAAAATTATATAACTCGTATTCTGGTTAGTGATCATATCACATGGTAAGCAATCAGGAAAAAGTCACATCAATATTAATAAAATAATAATAGATTGTGCTTTCGCATTCCTACGATTGAAGATCATATGGAACTCAAACACAACTGTCAACCTACATTTAAGTCACAGTCTTCAATCCGAACGTCAACACAGTTCTGCTATACAGAGCTGAAACTTCGGGAACTACTACAATCATCATCAAGAAGGTACAAGTCTTTATCAATCGTTGTCTACGCAACATACTCAACATCCATTGGTCGGATAGCATCAGCAACAGCCTTCTGTGTGAGAGAACAAACCAGCTTCCAGTTGAAGAGGAAATTAGGGGAAGAAGATAGAAATGGGTAACACATACATTATGGAAATCACCAAACTGCTTCATGAGGCAAGTCCCCACTTGGAATCGTGAAGGGATGCGGAAAAGTGGAAGGCCAAATAACACATTACATCGGGAATCGGAAGCAGATATGAAAAAGATGAAAAACAACTGGAAAGGATTCCCTAGGAGAAGGTTGGATGGAGAGTGCTGCTGAGCGGCCTATGCTCCTCCACGAGGAGCATAACAGGTGTAAGTAAAAGTAAATTTCATACTCAAATATTAGAGAATGATGTACAAGACAAACGAGTGCTTCATCATAATTCATAATCACCACTCATTTATTCACAATGTACAACTTTTATATCTTGTTTAATCATTTTTATACATTGAATATTTGTTCATCATGATTATCGTTAGATAAATCATTTTTAACTGTAACAATATTTGTTAAATCATCAAAATTTTTATTATAACATATATAATCAGTACTACTTATAGATTTGTAAGTAGTTTCTGGCTTATCAATAGTATTATTATCCCAATATGATTGATGAAAATATAAATTTTGATTATGTAAACAACAAGGAACTAAAATATCTTTTTCTTGTGAATGACATAATGAGGATAATTGATTTTTATAGATTTCAATAATATTTGAGTTGGAGTTCATTTCATAACAGACTGGGATAATTTTGTCCCAAATTGTATGATCATCATCAACATCATTATCATTATCATCACAATTTCGAACATTTATCTCTTTTAATGTATCATGATGATATAGATTCTCCTCTTGATTATGAAATCTATCATGATGAGTTTTAATTGAACAATCGGATTGAATACATTTCAATTGAGAACAATGATAACTTTGTTGAAATTTCTCTTTAAGCATATTATTCATAGAATAATGTTTGTTATCATTTTCATCAATAGTGGATTGTAATACTTTAGTATTCAAAGGATTATTACATAAGTTATAAGTAATCAATGGATTACCATTGTATTTTTCATGATTAGATCGATAGAAGGATTGACAACAACATCGACTGTAGGGAGTTTGACATATTGAGGAATTACATTGATAATAGAATGTTATAAAACTGATTCCACTTATTAAACAAATGATAAAAATTATAAAATGTGTAGGGAATTTGATAAATATATTATCAGATTGACAAATAGAATCTATATATAAAAAGAGAAATATCAATTAGAAATTGTTTATAATTAAGCAATGATAGATATTGGTTAGCAGTGGAATCTAGGACGCGTGCCACTTCGTCCTATTTGAGACTCATCGACTGGATGTACCTGTATCTCAGAGTTGATGTTCACTCTGATACTCGATCACTGCAGTCCTAAACACTAATGCAAAGATTCAAACAAACAATACAAAGTGTATTCAAACTTCACGCCATTGCACAAGCGAATGGCTATCAGGATTTAGTAGCTAAGTGGATAACGTGATGACGTTTGAAGCGAACGGTACTGATTTGGAGTACAGGAGTGAACATCAACTCTGAGATGCAGGTACATTCAACTGACGAGTCCCAAATAGGACGAAACGTTGCGTGTCCTGGATTCCATTACTAGTCACTATCCATCTTAGTTTATACTTGTTATTACTCATAATTTGTAAGTAGTTTGCTTCTTAGATATTCAATAACAGTGGAAATATAATGAAGCCCTTTATTTAATGCAGTATAATAACACATAAAGAATCAAATAGTAGTTCATCATTACAGTTTCTGAAGATATAATGGAAAATTTATGTTGTGAATGTTCATTGACAATATACAAATTACTTCATAAAAGAATAAGTCAAATAACTGAAAAGTTTATTACTACGTGAAGTAAGAGCTGATGATATTGTTTAGGATGACAATGAAAGCTCCGTAATTAAACTGTCCAGTTCAAAGAACTCAAGAATATAAGAAATCCCATGTTTCTCTAATTCTCTTTTCTTTATCTTAAAATGAAACAATATCACTCCATAGGTTTTATATGTGTAATTGATCATAGATAACCATTTCAAACCCGGAAGCACTGAACAACCATTCCTCTACAGTATGGAACTCCATAGAAGTGCACATTCACAAACTCATAACCAACAACCAATCTCAACGCCTCTGGTTTCGCGCGTAAAAGTTCAGTCTCTAGATTATTGAGCTGACATCTAATGGTGAACAAATCTAACTTTATTCAAACCATGATAATGCTCTATCATCTCATATTTCGTAGAGTAGATAACTATCTCACATCTAACATGAAGTGAACTTCATTGATCATAGCTTTACACTAGAACTCCATGATTTACATCTATAAGCTAGTCAGTAGTGAATGCATTATTATGTCTTGAATAAAAGTAAACATGTACATTACTTGATCGTAAAAGAAGAAAGCAACTACTTGAGAAAAATATTAAACTTACTTATACTTTTATTCTGTATAAATACAGGAGAATAAGGAGAAGAATATGGTGAAGGAGATATTGAATTATAGTTGGAAGTTTTAATTTTCAACGATTTCGTTAACATTATTATTGATGGAAACATATCACTCTCCGATAAATCTGATTGATGTACATCATAATCTAACGATCTCATATGATCATTACAATATGAAGGCTGTAGAATGAAAATATTAAAAGTAAAAGGATTCAGTCATGTTAAATAAATATATTGATAGATGACCTTTAAGCAATACTGAAGTGACCTTGTGAACATCCACCGACAAGACTATAATTTATGGACGAACCAATCACGTATAAGATAACAGGTCTTGGATTTTGGCGTGATATTCACCTATCCATTTGGCTGAATAGAGTTTTGGCAGTATAGCTGATGTCAGTTCATGATGAAAACCCTAAATCTAATTCCTAACCTTAACGACCAACTGTAAATTATAATTCGAATTCCTCATATGGTTTTATAACCTTCATTTGGTTCCAGTTATTAGGTGGGCACTCTCAAGGTCATTTTAGCATCGCTCAAAGGTCGTCCTTAAATTATAATCTCACTCATTCACTTACTTACTAGGATTAAAAGAGTGATATAAATTAGTATGAGAAATCGGAATCTGGATTTAGAGATAAATGTTGGGATTGGGGATTAGAGTTAGAGTTTTCATTATGAACTGATGTCAATTATAAAGCTAAAATGCTATTTAGGTCTTGGAATAAACTCCATGCTGTCAAGTCATCTAAATGCATCGTAATCAGTAAATACAACTATGAATTTTTTTATTGAGATCATGAACCGATTGATGTCAGATCACCCTTTGAAACCTGGAAGCACTGGACGTCCTATTGTGGGACACCTCAGCAGTGCGCATCCACGATCCCACTCGCTGGATCCGAACCCAGGGCCTTCGGTCTCGCGCGCGAACTCCTAACCAACTGGACCACTGAGCAGGCATGCAGTGGTGATGGTGTCTAACATCAACCAATCCACGAAATTACGCGACCAACTTCCGTTGTACTGAGGTAGATACCTATCTCTACTCGACATGGATTAGCTCCACTGGCGGCTAAGTGATCCAGTTGGTTAGGCGTTCGCGCGCGAGACCGAAGGCCCTGAGTTCGAATCCAGCGAGTGGGATCGTGGATGCGCACTGCTGAGGAGTCCCACAATAGGACGTCCAGTGCTCCCAGGTTTCCAATGGTGGTCTGACATCAATCGGTTCATGATCTCAATCAAAAAAACTTGGTAATCTCCACAACCCCTATACTAATACAACTATGTTTTCGTTTTATAAGTCACCCAGTTTATGATATTTAGAAACAATTTCTATCACAGAATTAATAAGAGATATGACTTTTGTTATTTTGCAAATTTTCCCCATCATAACTAATTGCTCTATGCTTGGTACTTCCGTAGTATGATAAAGTGTTATTTTTGTCATTGGAAACTACATTTTTCATTTAAGCCAGCTAAAACGCCTGAGAAAGAAATACACCTTCCATCATGGATTACAGTAGTGTAAATAACCTCTGTTACCAGAGATGGTTCCTAAACTGATTACTTCGTTAGTACCATTTAGTCAAAATCCCAAATTGAACGAAATGCACATTCCAGATTCCAATGCTAGCCACTAACTAAATTTTAGGGGAAAAACTGAACTTTTAGATAGTTTATCAAATTATAGTGTAGCTTGGAATAGGAATTAGTTAAATGTAGTCGTTTTTACAGATAACCCATCTGATCTATGACAGTTTTTTCTCATTTAATGAATAATTTTTTGCTCAGATACTGCAAGGAGATGTTCAATGAAAAATCATGGTAATGTTAACCATTAAGATTACGTCAGAGGAGGCGATTAACAATGAAAACAACACATCTTAATGAATACAACCTCCATTGTATTCACTAGTACCTATGGTGTATAGAATAAGAATAACTTGCCATTTGATCATCTACACTTATTTCAAATCATTTACCAGCTATAATTTGTTATTGTTTCCAATGAATTTTTTCGACTAGAAGAATCTAATGACATGAATTAGTAGAACCTGTCTGAATATTATTTTGTTTTGTTTAAGGTCACGAATAGTTATATTCAGGTGTATAGGCTACTGTATTAGATACACATTGAATCAACACGCAGATTAACTACTAAAACTTTAACTATGAAAAGTAAAACGATACGAAGTTTGGTCAAGATAAAAATATATCAATATGGGGTTGTGGAGATTGTTGATTTTCATTAAAATCACGAAACAATCTAAGCTATGACCAGTAAAGTTCAGTTCATGTTAGATGTGAGATAGTTATCCACCTTACGAAATATGAGATGATAGAGCATTATCATGGTTTGAATAAAGTTAGATTTGTTCACCATTAGATGTCAGCTCAATAATCTAGAGACTGAACGTTTACGCACGAAACCGGAGGTGTTGAGATTAGTTCTCGATTATGGGTTTGTGAATGTGCACTTCTATAGAGTTTCATACTGTTGAGGAATGTTTGTTTAGTGCTTTGAGATCTTCAGTGGTTCTCTAATTTGGATTGGTTTGTGAAATCGTTAAAATAAAGAACCTCTCAAGGTCAATTAATGTATTATCCTTGATTTACTTACCCATACACACCATCTAATGTGTTGGCAAACACGAAATATACAATTGATATGTAGTTCTGATGTGGTTGTAAAACTTGCGTTTGAATAAAGTCCCATTACATTGGAGTTCAATTGAAATGAATTGGCTTCTGTCATATTTGTCAATAACTTCATACTACTGACTGAAGTATATTCATTCAATGGAATGGCAAAGTTTCCATATGTTGATAAATGATTTGAATGGAATTTTATTTCGTTAATAACTTCAGGTGAATATAATAGACAACTATAAAAAAGGATATATAATATTGTTCCATATAAATAAACATTCGGTAGAATGATTTTGAAGCAAAGATGTATAATGGCTAGCAGTGAAATCCAGGACGCTCGTTTTGTCTTACTCGAGACTCGTCAGCTGGATGTACCTGCATTCCAGAGTTGATGTTCACTCCGAGACTTTGTAGTGGCTGTGTTTCGTTAACCAATCACCCTCGTAACCGTTACCATATAATCCTCAACGGTGTTTGAAATCAGAAGGCAAAGAGAAGCAGCGACTACAGTTTTATTAGTAGATAACTCAGATCACAAAGCAGTGAGGCAAATGAATGAGTCAGCGAACCAAGAGTTTGTGTAGAGTATTAAATGTACATGTATATATATTGGGAAATGAATAGATCATCAAATCAGTTAAGCAGTTAATAATAAAGCTAGTAGAATGAATATATGGATAGGTGGTAAGCAATGTCCAAGCACATATATTTCATACAAGCACAACAACAATAAAGGTACAATATGTTGTTGTAGTAAGAATGACTTTGTTAAATGAGAACAAACTCAATTGCACGTGAGTTGCTATAACTTGAACGATTTTCTTCCAAAAAAGTTTAATGATAGTTTGGTAGAATAATCAAATGGTCTAGTGGTTATCCTCAATTATTACAGTTCCTGAAATCGAATTCCCTGAACAGATCACTCTACATTTAACCAATTAACCTAATTCAGGGAGTGTTTCCAGTCTAGGAATATTTGGTGCCTGTGGTTGATTCTTCATTTGATTGAATGATATTGATGTTACATAAAATATATATTCATATGTATCTTGTCGACAAAGCACGTTAGTGACAACGTCAAATAGGAAACTATTTAAGGAATGTATATTACCGATATTCGACAATACAGGCGACCGAACAATAAGAGATGAAAAGAAATGTATATGAATTAGTGTAGCCGAAACAGATAGTTCAATCAATGATGGGTGATACAACATTTGGAAGAAATTTGTCCAAAATTGCGTCACTCACAAATGTGTTTCATACATTTCCAGCTATTTTACAGCATTTTTTATACCTTCAAAACACTGTCTTTTGGTCAGACGGAAGATAAATCGTACATGAGCTAACTGAAAGGCTATTTAATAAGAAAATCAATGTTCAATCTTTATTTCATGCTTCTTTTTAATGATTGTGAGTAAACAGCATTCACAACCTTGAAGAACTGGAAACTATTTCTGAAATACTGACTATAAGTTTATTTATGTAGTTATTTAAACGCATAAACATTGGTACATGGAGGCACCAAATAGATAGGAGCCACATAAATCATTCGATTTGTGTAAGGGCTGAGATACTTCCCTGGTGTCCAAACCGAAGCAGGTGGTTTTCTTAGAAGGCCACACCCGGAGCCTTCTACCTAAAGGTCTGAATCACGAGACAGTGAGGCAACGTCAGGAGATGCAGTATCACGGTAGCCGGTGACCAAAAATTGGTTCATACGCCTTTTGTTCCATCAGGGTTCTGGAACCCATGTGCACCATTAGTTTGGAATCAGGGTTTTCCAAATCCCCTAGGTGGACTCTCCATGTCCATCAACCTGGTTAAATTACTGGATATTCACTTTTCGTCCTCTCGATTTTGTAAACAACACCCTGCCTCGAGAAGGCAGTGAGTAGGACTTCCCTAGTTGTGATTGTTTGCACGTACCCATGTGAGAGGATTTCGAGAGGGAGAGCTGAGTCTCCCCACTCTCGACCGTACCAAGGCATTTGGGAGCACCAACTGCTATTAGTAACATTTAGCGAAAAAGTACTGAACTATTCAGTCAATATTGAGTACTATACAATGCGTTATTCGTCCAGTAGCAAGAAAATCTAATTAACCAAATAAAACAGATATGTATATACTAAGAGAAGACAAAATACCATCATTTTAAGGTATAGTACTGAGTGTTTTGAATCTGAATTTATGAAGAGTCTTAAATTTCTTCAAGCTTAAAGAAATACCTGGTAGATCACTGTTTACATATATGACATAAAAGTCTAGTGATGTTTCCAACTATCCTTTATTGAATATAATGATTTAGTTTTTACTCACTTAACTCATTATTTATACTGTAGTGTATGCTACTTATACTGTCAGATATAAGTAGTATGTAAGCAGAAGTGGAATGCCTGGTAGCTGAAGAGTGAATTGGAGAACAGAAAAGAAATCTAAGAGCAATCAAAATATCAACAGAATCAGAGGAATCATGGATTGGTTAAACGACAAATCAAAGAAGATATGCCAATCATGTATTTAATGTATATTTTTCATACTTTACTAAGCCATAGTGTAATTTTATATTAAATAGTGAATTGGTTATCCCCTACGTGAGTTTTCGTTCATTTCAATACTACAAACTTTATCCATAAAGATTAGATCAGTATACTTTAGAAATTGTCTTGTTAACTTTCCAATACCATACCTTTTTTGATTAGACTTTCATAGACTGTATGTCAAATAAAACAAATTATTACCGGATGATGAATTATAGTGAATGAGAACACAAGTGGGGACATCCAGTTGTATTACAGAATATCTTGGTAAAATCTAAGAACCATACAATCGATATTCATTTGCGAAATATCCATCAACTGTCTCAGACTTGATTGTTCTTTTGTTTCCATACCAATCACTCTCTGTTCTTATTCTCTTACCTTCAGTTTTCTCAACTTTCTGTGGCCAGACATTCCACTTTCGATTGGTGATACATACTACTTATATCTGTCGACATCAGTAACATATACACCACAGAATTAGGTTTTCTTTTATGGGGACTATTTAAAAGTAAGGTGTTATGAATGCACCTTTAACTAGCATTCGTAAATCATTCTGAATTATACAATATCATTCTGTTTTATTAATTCAGTGCAAAATATTCACAAGAAGAAATAATACTCAATGAAATAATGCTAACAGCTCTAATACATTTAATCAACACTACTACGATTGGGTAATGTATGTGCCACACATTATCCTATAAGTACAAAGATTGTAAACATCAAGAATCTATAGGTAAAATGTCATAAGTCTTCAACATCAATGGTACTTTCAGGTAGCTTTCTATCTTGAAGTAAACTATTTATTTTCCAAATACTCATTTATTTAAAAGAAGCTCCGTTCATTTACTATATCATAAATATCTTTATAGGTGACTTCAAATAGCTATGACCATTATGAATGAATTTTCAAATCATTTTCTGTATATTACTCGTTTGGCTTTTGTCAACTTACGTTACCTATGGCGAAGGCGAGATATCCGTCTGTCAATAAAAGGACGAGTATACTGCGCGGCAGTTCGTTCTGTTTTAATTTACGGCTGCGAAGCGTGGCCATTAAGAGTAGAAGATACTCGTGATCTACTAGTATTTGACCATAGATTCCTTAGAAATATTGCTCGCATCTGCTGGTCTCACCGGTTAAGTAATAATAAGGTTAGACACAGGGTATTAGGGTGTTAGGTTCCGATAAGCATAATGAATGGTAACTCTGGGATCCATTTATGGACCAATACTAAACCTTTATTTTTATCGTATAAATGTTGAATAACCAAACTACTCATATTCATATTCCTCTTAATATAAGCTTTATTTTGACCTAAGAATCATTATTATACACTTTCATCGCACATCAAATTCACGAATGAAAATGAAAGTGTAGATGGTGAGCTACTATTCTTGGATTGCTTAGTAAAAAGAAATCCAAATGGAAGTCTAAACCTATCCATTTACCGAAAACCGACACATTCAAATCGTTATATTGACTTCCATTCAGCACATCCTTTCAGTGCAAAAATCTCGCTAGCCTTAAATCTTTTTAGAAGAGCTAACAAAATCATCACATCAGAGGAAGACAAACAAAAAGAACAAATGATTATAGTTAGCACCTTACAATTTAATAATTTTCCTATGAAGATTATTAGAAGCATATTAAAACAAAACAGTTTATTACATTATAATAATGATTCGAATGAAATGCCTTGGATTGGCACTGTAGTCCTACCATACCGTCATAGCACAACAGAAGAAATCCAAAGAATCTTAAAACATCACAGAATTAAAGTGTATTACAAAACAACGGACACACTATGTAATACTTTAGTTCGCCTGAAAGACAAAATCCCGTTCATGTCCACACAGAACTGCGTCTACAAATTAGGTTGTATTGATTGTGATGCCTATTATATTGGAGAGTCATCCCGCGAAATCGTGACTAGAGCCAAAGAACATATTAGGTACACAAAGAAACCTCCTAACAATCCTGTAGAATTGAACCAACTTCAAATTAAATCGGCAATAGCAATTCATGCCATTTTCAACAACCACCAAATCGATTTTAAAAATATCAAAATATTGCAAAAAGGCTTTTCCAACTACAAAGAAAGAAGGGTAGCTGAGGCGTTCCATATAATACTTAATTTTACTTCTCTCAATAGAAAGGAAGGTCTTACTATACATCCTACTTGGACCATCTATCCTTTCTTACCATAGACGTCACACAAGTTTTCATTCTTAAACAATGCACATATACATACTTACACAAAATTTACATACATATCACTTATGAATCACCCTGACAGAAATGACATGACATCAACTTGTTCAGACATGTTTTTTGATTGATCACATGTAATATTCTTGCATTGTTCCGTTGTACTATTTAAACTTGGATTAATTTTAATTTGGTTATTTATTCTCTGAAGAAGTGACTTACACTAAGTCACGAAACATCAGAAAATCCAATTTTTCTACTCATTGGGATATTACAAATATATGATTTTTATTTATAACAATCAACCCAATGCTCAATTTATTCGAAATTATCAAATCAAACCTTGGTAATGACACCTATATTACTATACGTTTTACTATTCTTGGATTATGTCCTGTCTATTAGTCACTGCCTCCCACATTCACAGCCACATTTGGCCAAATCTTGTACAAATGTTGTTTTCTATTTTATGGTACGTTGTGGTCTGTTTGATTGGTATATAAACTCAGTATGTTTGAAATATAATGATTCATATCGCAGAGACTCAGACTGGTGTTCTGGAATTAACTGGCTGGACTAGGCGGGAAGCAGGGCCAATTAGAACTCTAGGCTGCTCATACGGGTTTACACGTCATTGATTCGATCGATAAGTCACTGCTCTCTAATTGGCGGTATCGTTACGTTATACATTAACAAGGCACACAGGTCACATGTTGTTGTGATATCCTAGTGAAGATTAAATTACAGGTAACTTCCCAGGATTATTAATGGACTAATATTCTATAAATATTCTTATAGTATAATTATTCAATAACTATATATTATGTATATTTATCTTTCCCTTATTATAAGCTTCATTTTGACCTATAATTTATTATTATACGATTTGGTGTCTCTAAATTATGCTCAGTTTATTAACTACTGACTCCCACGTTCACAGCCACTTTTTGGCTTTATTGTGTACAAATATTATTTCCTATTTTATGGTGCGTTGCGATCTGTTTGGTTGATATATAAACCCAGTATAAGTTGTATTTTGATTGGTGGGATTGATGGTAAATCAGTTGATGAGGTTATGACCGAGATGGTTGGGCCACGTGTTACGTATGCCCAATCACCGATTACCACGACGTGCAATGCTGACTAGTGTTGGGGATGGTTGGAAGAAAGTTAATGGCGGCCAAACCAAAACGTGGCATCACTCCTTGAATTCACTAACTTCTAGTCTGAGCCATGTTGGTAGATGCATACTACTTGGTTCCGGTCCTCGTGGCTATCATAACCAATGATTGGAGACTGGGTGACATTGGCTCAGAATCGATCACAATGGAGTAGGTGTATACACTCTCTATCTTCCCTTAAACTAAGAGATTAAAATCGCTTCATATCTTTCTTTCTATGAACTAATTCTTTCTTCCTGTACTATATCCTTATTGCAATCTTTCTTTTATATATTATCACCACCTAATTAACTACTTCTATGAATCCGGTGTTCACCTTGTTGTGCTAATGAGGTATGGCAACTTGGACGGATGAATATATGTGCTTGGTCCTACGTTGTAGCTGACTGATTAAATGGTATGATTTAATTGAGAAAAGTGAAAAAAATAGGACGAATTGTTAGTGTGTCACTGAGTGATAGCATAATACACGTTTTTCTTATTAATCTCAGGTAATGTGTATATGATATAAAATTAACATTAAGAAGTTGTTTTATAAGATAAATGCTATTTGATATTCCACTTGTTGAATTTCGAGTTCATCAAGAGATCTGAGGATCCTATGTTATGGATATGCACTTTTGAAGAGTCTCATACTTGAACGAAGCGGTTTTCACAGGTAGTCCAACTATGATCACTTCATGATGTGAAGTACGAAAGAAAATCTCAACTCATAGACCTGATGTTGCATTGATCATACAATTACAGTTTTACTGAAAATTACTACAAATATAATTTAAAACACTTACTTTTTATGTACAATTGTAATTTCATCTGATTTTGCATACGGTGATGTTTGACTTATGGAACATTGTTCAATACTGATGTATGTGTACGAATCTATATGACAAAAGATATGATTCTGATAAGTGAAATCTTTAAAGTTGTTAGGTTTTAGTTCTTTCTATGATTATATCTACAATACCATACGCTTTATGATTGAAAAATAAATTATAATCAGTTTTATGGTATTCCAATAGCTTTTGATGGTGACAGTAATATTGCTGACTGAAAAACCGGCTGTAAATATTTCAGTCCTATAGGATGTCAGTCGCGTCCTGAAATCTTTGTTGTAACGTCTTAGACTGGGAAACTGGGCGACTTTAGTTCTAACCTACCATAGGTTATCAGCTCTCGCAGAATTTCAATCATATTTTGCTGTTATGTAGAAAGACAATGAAAGCTGTACGATCAAATTGACCAGCTCGGAGGATCCAAATTCACTAAAAACATTGATCAGCCATTGTAAACCAAACAATGTCATGCTCTCCAGTTACATGTACTCATTAAATTCTATTGATCAACTTTGTATTTAAGTTATTATTATGAGCAACATATATATAGCAGTTAATATAAAATTATGTTAGCAACCTTGGAGAATTCCATCTGAATATAGCCGTACACTGTTGTAAAAGGCTTTAATGGCAACTCAGTGCAAAGGCCCTCTCCTGAAAATCCTATACTTAAAATTTAGCACATCGATTCACTTAAAATAGGAGATTTTGTAATTTTAACAGTGGCTTTTCTATTACTTCAATATCACACTACTCATACTTAGTTAGTAGTTTGAGTCATGGCCAACTACATAATTTGTATACTGTCATCTTTGGCAATTTCATATCTCAGCAAACTACTTATATTTCCACATGATACATCCAAGTTCTGTTTTCTATGATAAAATAAACATTTAAATTTTATTCATGCTGAAATATTTAAAAGGCTCACTTCATCTCTGATTGAGGGTTTGCCAACGTAATTGATAACTGGATATCTCGCGTTTTGTCGTTTTTAAACATGTACAGTTTGTGTCTTATATTTAGTGAAATCAGGCGTTTCGAATTTGTAATCTCATGCCTAAATCGGTCATCAGTTTAGAATCATTGAATAAATTTTTTTAGTATGCTATATAATTGATATAGCTTAAAAATGATCTTCTATGAAATTCTTATAGTAGAAAAAAGTTTATACTCAATTGAGTGGAAACTACCATGTAGAGAAACTGTGAAGGGATCAAGGAGGCAATCACTTCAACATATCATGAGGTTCTGGGCTACAAGAAGCATCGTCATAAGGAAGGGATCACTGTTAATACACCGGATAAGATTCAAGAAAGGAGGAAAAAGCAGGCAGCAATCAATATCAGCCGAACAAGATCAGAGAAAGCCAATGCACAAGCCTAATACACAGGAGCAAACAAGCAAATGAAGAGAAACATCAGAGCCAACAAACGTAAATATATGAAATATCTAGCAATGACAGCGGAAAAGGTTGTAAGAGAAGGAAATATGAGAAAATTGTATGATACAACAATGTAGCTCGCTGGAAATTATCGTGAACCAGAAAGACCAATGAAAAGCAAGGAAGGTGAAGTAATCACCGACATTGAAGAACAGTGAAACAGGTGGGTAGAGCACTTTAAGGAACTCTTGAATCGACCAGTCCCACTGAACTCACTCAACATCGGGGTAGCACCCACCGACCTCCCAATCGATGTTGGCCAACCAACAATTGAAGAGGTCAGCATGGCCATCAGACAAATCAAGAGCAGCAAAGTAGAGAGACCAGACAACATCTCAACAGAGACACTGAAAGTAGACTTAACAGTAACTGCAGAAATACTCAACATTCTCTTCAGCAAGATTTGGGATGAAGAACAAGTACCAACAGACTGGAAAGAAGGACACCTGATCAAGATACCAAAGAAAGGCGATCTCAGCAAGTGTGAGAACTACAGGGATATCACTATTCTCTCATTACCAGGAAAAGTCTTCAACGGAGTGTTGCTAAACAGAATAAACGATTCCGTAGACTCCGGACTTCGAGATCAACAGCATCGATCGTGCACCGACCAAATCGTAACACTACGGATCATTGTGGAACAATCAACTGAGTAGAATTCACCACTCTATATCAACTTCATTGACTACGATAAAGCATTTGATAGTGTGGAAAGAACAACACTATGAAGGCGTACCTGAGAAGATAGTCAGTCAGTCAGTATAGCCGTACTCGCTTCGATGGTACATACACCAAAATTGGAACGATACAGAGAAGATAGTCAATGTCACACGGAATTCGGATGACGGATTAAACTGCAAAATTGTGCATGGAGGACAACTGACAGACTCGTTCGAATTAAGGACCGGTGTCAGGCAACGTTGTTTACTCTTATACTTTCTCTTTCTTCCGGTGATTGACTGGATTATGAAGATGTCAATGTCTGTGGGAAGCACGAGATAGAGTGGACAGCTAGGATTCATCTGGACGATTTAGACTTCGCCAATGATCTGGCTCTTCTATCGAATACGCAACAACAAATTCAGGAGGACGACCAGTGTAGCAGCAGTCTCAGCAGTAGTAGATCTAAACAGAAACAAAAGGAAAAGCAAGACTCTTTGATGCAGCACTGCATGTACCAATCCAATCACACTTGACGGAGGAGATTTGGAAGATGTAAAAACCTTTACATATCTGGGCAGCATCATTGATGAACATGGTGGATCTGATGCAGATGTGAATGCGCGGATCGGTGAAGCAAGAAGAGCATATCTAAAACTTAAGAACAACTGAAACTCAAGACAACTGTCAACCAACACCAAACTCAGGATTTTCAATACAAATGTCGACACAGTTCTACTGTATGGAGCGGAAACTTGAAAAAGTACGAAAGCGATCATCCAGAAGATGTAAGTGTTTATTAACAGTTGTCTACGCAAAGTACTTCGGATCTGGTGGTCAGACACTATCAGCAACAACCTACTGTGAGAGAGAACAAACCAGATTTCTGTCGAGGAAGAAATCAGGAAGAAGCGCTAGAGGTGGATATGACATACATTGAGGAAAGCACTCAACTGCGTCACAATTTAAGTCCTCACTTGGAATCCTCAAGGCCAAAAGAAAAGAGGAAGACCCAAAGAACACATTACGCCGGGAAATGGAGACATGCATGAAAAGAATAAACAGCAGTTGGATAGAATTAGGAGGCCCAGTAGAGAGTAGGTTGAAGAACACTGTTCGGCGGCCTATACTCCATTGGGAGTAACAGTCGTAAGTAAATAAAAGAAAGAGAAAAAAAGTATTTATGCATAAATAATAAGCACTCACTATTTTGATAATAATACTCTACATGCAAATGTATAGATTCTCTTGTATCAATAACATTTCGTGCATATTTCTTGTTTAAATCATTTTGAATTGTAAATTTTAAATTTTGGTGAATTTTCTCTAAAATTTTCGACTGATTCCTAGTAGTGTAATTTCCATGAATCATTCTACAAAGAAAGAAATTAGAGAATAAATAAACAAGAAAGTAATGGATAAATGTTCAACAGTTTATACTACTTTTACAACTTGTGGTATTGTGCCCTATTAATGTATAGCGCAACGATATCGCCAATTCGAGAACAGCGATTTATCGACCGAACCAATGACACATAAAACCCATACGACCAGTCTATAGTCCTTATCGATCCCGCTTCCTGAATAGCCATGCCATCCTGTTGAGTCTAGAACACCAATCTCAGACTCTGCATTATGAATCATGTATTTCAAGTATACTGGTTTTATATAAAAACCAAACAGACTACATCGTATCATGAAATAGGAAACAACATTTGTACAAGAATTAGTCAAATGTGACTGTGAATGTGAGAGATAGTAATTGATAGACTGGACATAACTCAAGAATGGCAGATCGTATAATAATAGTTCATAAGTCAGAATAAGGCTTATGATTTGAGGAACACGAATATGAATAGCTTAGTTACTTAACAATGATATGTGCATAGTACTGGTCCACAAATAGATCCTTAAAGTTACCATTCACTATTCTCATCGGGATATAACAAAACCCTTATCCAAAGAAGAAATATTTCACGTTGTCACATCTAAGCTGGCAATTACCTTGAAATTCTTCCTATCTAGAAGTGATTAGATTTATGTTTCATCTTCTTTCTACAAGTTATAAGATGATCATAACAAGTACAATTTACCTTTAACATTATTCATTAAACTATAAAAATGTATTACAAATCATTTCTAGAATCTAATCTGTTACCGTTAATAGATGTTGATGGTTATAAAATATTATTTATACCATAAAAAACATAAATAAAACAAACTTTATAAGTAAAGATGAATAGTGTCTAGCAGTGGAATCCAGGACGCGCACCGCTTCGTCCTAGTTAGGACTCGTCAGTTGGATGTACCTGCATCTCAGAGTTGATTTTCACTATGGGACTCGAACCCAGTACCATTCGCCATCGCGTTTTCCACTCAGTTACTGAGTCCTGATAGCCACTTGTTTATGCAATCGGTGGATTCAAATTCACTTGGTATTGTTTGCTTGAATCTTTCCATTCATGTTTAAAACTGCAATTGTATAGGTGACGAGCCCCGAATAGGACGAAACGCGCGTCAAACTGGATTCCACTACTAGCTACTACCCATGTTTGTTTATAAGCTTGTGAATTAAGGCAACATCGAGGCAATACGCAAAGTATGCACATATGCCAATAAAAGACTGATCAATTGCAGTCTTAAGACTCAATGGGAAGATTCAAGCAAACAATACCAAGTGAATAGAAATAAAACAATGTCATTAAAACACATTACAATGAAATTTATGCCTATACACGATTATATGAAAGACACGTATTAGAAGTAAAATAACCACTTAGAAATGATCATGAATTTTAATAATGAAATATTAAAGTGAGAACAATATTCTCCATTAGAATTTATATTCAATTAGCATCATTGAATTGACTATGCATATTAAAGTAGTACGTGATATATATTCAGTAGTATATCTTCTTACTCATTAACTTCCTTATATACATAATCTATTGTTCTATTTTTCATGTAATAAACTATAAAATGAACATGTTCCAAAAAGTCTCAGAACAAAATAAAGAATGACTCTAAACAGTGCGATCACCGAACATCTCCTTGATACAGGACATCAGATGGAGACCTTGAAATCTTTCAAGGTGATTAGTAAGCAGACGAAATCCAATCTTCTGAAGTTTGCTGAAACTGTTGTATAAAATGAATTGTACTGGTGTTTTTTTCTAAAAATGTAAGAAGTTGTCATATTCCAATGAGAATAATGAATGATAACTGTTGGGATCTGTTTATGGACTAACAGTATATATGGATATATATATATATAATGCAATTGCTAAGTAACTAAACTATTCATATTCGTGTTCCTCAAATCATAAGCCTTATTCTGACTTATGAACTATTATTATACGATCTGCCATTCTTGAGTTATGTCCAGTCTATCAATTACTATCTCTCACATTCACAGTCACATTTGACTAATTCTTGTACAAATGTTGTTTCCTATTTCATGATACGATGTAGTCTGTTTGGTTTTTATATAAAACCAGTATACTTGAAATACATGATTCATAATGCAGAGTCTGAGATTGGTGTTCTGGACTCAACAGGAAGGGATGGCTATTCAGGAAGCGGGATTGATAAGGACTGTAGACTGTTCGTATGGGTTTTATGTGTCATTGGTTCGGTCGACAAATCTCTGTTCTGTAATTGACGATATCATTATGTAATATATTAGGAAGGCATAATGCCACAAGTTATAACAAGTTTTAAGGGACCTATTCTATTTGAAATATGTTTACATTAAAGACGGATTTAAACTAGAGAACGTTTGGATATCAGTTGGCTATTGGACAGTTGTTTTGACCTAGTTCAGGTTCTGTCTGTCGGTATGCACATATAATCAACACATGAATTGAACCCAGGAATTTTAGACCTGCTGGCTAATACTTTACTTTTAAAATACTAAGCTAGTATCCAGTGATCCAAATTTTCAACTTTTATCTATTTGTGATATTACACTGTTGTCACACTGTAAACAGCTGGACTCTTGGAATTACCACTGACTACTTTCAAGGGAAATTCTTAGAATTCTAATAAGAAGACATAATAAGTAAAATCTAATCATATTACTCTTGAAATTAACTGATCTTTATTCTATTTACCAAACTGACTGTAATTTGAAATACACACTAATGAATTATAAACCAACAGTCTAAAGGCAACTGGATAGTTCAATTTGTGACCTTTCATGGTTCAGGTACCAAAAGAATCGTAGCCACTCACTTTTAAACAGTTTCAAATTATGGAGATTCAGTTGTTTAAAAGCATCTAATTCTACTTGGTTGTCTGGCTAAATTCAATCGGTTATGTAATATCTTTCTCTCCTTTTTATATATGTATATACCTTCAAAAAGTACATTCTATTGTAGTACAATAATACAAAACTTACTTGATATCAGTTGAATCTATAGTAATATAGTCTTCATTCCAATATGATGTAAATGAAATGAAATATTGTATATCTCTAATTATAAAATCAAATGCTGATTGATATAAAACAATGACAAATGCTTTAAAAGTAATCTCTTTCTAAGAAATGAAAGACAAATGAAACAGGATTATTGAAAACAATTGAGATAATGGTATAAAATTAAAATAGTTTTATAGTTGAAATCATTAGTCAAATGAAGCTAGACCACCATGGAGAACCTGGAAACACTGGACGGCCGTTTCGTTCTAGTGCGGACATAGTATAGTTCGCATCCACGACCCCCCCCCCGCGGGATTCGAACCCAGGGCCTATCAGTCTCGCGCGCGAAATTACTATAATCTCCACAAAACCCCTTCTAACAAATAGTTTAGTTTTACAATTAAACAATTCAACTATCTTATTAATTGCAAAACTGAAGTATTTGATTGAAGTCATGAATCGATTGATGTTAGACCATCATTAAAAATCAGGAAGCACTGAACGGCCATTTCGTCCTTTTGTGAGACTCCTCAGCAGTGCACATCCACAATCCCTCCCGCGGGATTGGTTCACAAATAACACACTACATCGGGAATTGGGATATTCAGAAAAATATCCCAAAAATTATTCTGTTAAGTCTAACTCTATCCTTGGACTTGAGACGGTCTCATTTTCCTACTGGTCAATACTTATTTCACGTGTCATTTTCCTGTTGGTCAAATATTGTACAAATGTTATTTTCTATTTTATGGTACGATGTAGTCTGCTTGATTGGTATATAAACAGAGTATGTTTGAAATATATAGCGATTCACATCTCAGAGGCTGAGACTTGCGTTCTTAACTCAACTGGCTGGGCTAGACAGGGAAGCGGGACCAATCAGGACTCTAGGTTGTTCTCAAGTGTTTACGCGTCTTTGGTCCGATCGATAATACGCTGCTCTGTAATCTGCAGTCCACAAGTTATAACAGATATGAAAAGGATGAATAATAACTGGAAAGGATTGCTTAGGAGAAAGTTGGATGTCGAGTGCTGATAGGCGGCCTATATTCTTCCACGAGAAGTAACAGGCGTAATGAATAAGAAGAAGATCATAACATCCATTTATACTTACCTTTTTATGATGAATTTGAATAGATGCACATCTTGTTAAAATATCGTAATTCTTAGAATAATTAAATGTTTTACACCATATTCCTTCTTTAAACATACTTAATAGGCAACTATCATATGGGTATGGTGAATTTAATTGATTTGAAATGAATACAATCAAATGTGTTGTATCATTTTTTATAAAAATAGAAGATTGATGTTCCATAGAAAGATTAAAACAGATTGTGATGTTTTGTTGTGTACTAGAAAGATCTTTATATTCAATGAGAACAACAAAAGAAAAACAGGAGAAAAAAGAAACAATAATATCATCCGGATAATAATAATAATAATAATAGTGTTAATGTCTAACTCCAACTAATCCACCAAATTGAGCGACACATCTATCATTGTCTTCAGTGAGTTACTATCTCACAACAGACGTGGTTGAACTCTACTGGTCACTGCTTCTCACTAGAACTCTAGGAAATATCTCTTGATGCTAGTCACTAGTGAGCACATGTTGACTAGTATCAGATGTGTTTTGTGGATATTATAGTAATTTCAATGGCTAAGATCATGAGTCGGCTGAAGCTAGACCACCATGGAAAACCTGGAAGCACTGGTCTAGTGATCTAGTGGTTAAGTGCTCGCGCGCGAAACCAGTAGGTCCTGGGTTCGAATCTCTCAGGGGGTGAGGTCGTGAATGCGCACTACTGAGGAGTCCCACAGTAGAACGAAACGGCCATTCAGTGCTTCCAGGTTTTCCATGGTGGTTTAGCTCCAATTGACTCATGAGTTCAACTATTAAAATTACTGCAATATCCACAAAACCCCTTCTGATGCAATGTACATTGTTTAAAGCATGTGAATTTAGGATTATCAAACAAAACAGAATAGAGCTTTTACCATAGAAAGTTTATTTTTAAATATATAATCGCGAATGTAAGAATAAGAGAAATATAAACGATGAATAGGATATGCCTGTTCAGGCACCTACAAATCAGAGGAGATGGGGCTAGTGAAGTATCAACTTAGAGATTGCAACGGACAGTATAGAAATCTTTCAACGCCGGAGAACTACGATTAGTATTTTCTACGCGCATGGTACATTTTCGTGCTCGCTATCACTTCCCAGAGTGGCTAAAAAAGGTTTGGTGAAGAGTGAACAGCTCGATATTGACCCATTTAGTAAAAACTGGTCATAGTGCCTGTTTAAACCAATCCTTTTCAACCATTTATAAGGCCAGTGATTTTTCGCCAAACCTTGTCAAACTTACCGTCCTTTAAATGACTGGAGTGGTAGCCATTTGGATGACGAAACCAAAGCTGTGAGTACAAAATAAATATCTTCAACCACTCCTTCTCCTCTGACCAACCTCAATGCCAATTAATCAATGGTAATCTTAGCTATTGAATGACCTAATTTGACTATTGTATGTACGACCTTTCGTAGTCAAATGCAATTGTCTCTGTTATATATGAATTGGACGACCTGAAGAGAATTAATGGAAAGCAATATTCTTCGTTCAGATATTGGTCTTTTAATATGACGGGGATCGTTAAACCATTAAATATATGAGATCATGAGTCAGTTGAAGCTAGACCACCATGGAAAACCTGGAAATACTGGAAAACTATTTCATTGTGGATGCGCACTGCTGACAAGTTGCATGGCGGGACGAAACGGCTTTTTAGTGCTTCCAAGTTTTTCATGGTGGTCTAGCTTCAACTGACTCATGGTTTTAGCTATTAAAATTACTATAATGTCCATAAAACTTCTTCTGACACTAGCTAAATCTTTGGTTTTTAATCTAATAAAAAAAGATCACATCTTTAAGTTGACACTTTCAGAGAGTCTTAATGAATAAGTTAATGTTAAACCAATGAATCGATTAGTTGGGATTAATATATGTTTAATATCGTTTCGGTGAAACTTGTTAATTTTGTGTGTTAAACGTTTCATGACTAACTATTCATCTTGTTCACTAGTATGTTAGAAGAGGGAGGTTGACTATGAATACAATGGTCTTGAGTGCTGTTAGAGGTATAAGGACGGTTATCACTTCCCAGTTTCCCACACCGTGGAATGGTTCTTCTGGAGGTGCCTGAAAAGGAAATTGGATTAGAGGTGGTCTTAGTGACCTGAGAGCGTGACCACAGTGCCCAAGGGACAACTGCTTGAGGTCGGTCACACACGACATTTTTATGGGTAATTTTTGTGTTAGCTCCGTACTTCTTGAGACCTTGCCGCCGGAGACGGATATCTGTGGGATAAGGCGAGGTGTGCATTTTTAGGGATCGACTTTTCTAATCCCACCCCTCCTTGTGGGAAGGCAGCATCGCTGTCATGCTGGTTGTCTGAAGGAAACACCTTACTGCTGTCACACCTCTGTACAGTCAGCAGTACGAATTTGCCTTCGGACAATGGGTTTGTTGCTTTTAGTCTTATCGCTCTTCAACCGACCTGTCTGACATGGTAGGACCTTGAGGAACGGTTATCCTAGCCAGTATTGCTCGGTTGCTTCATCACGATAGGCAAGCCCGACCACCACGTCAAGGTAGCAACAACGGTCGGGTCAATAGTATGTTGCTGTATTTTGGCTTGAATTTATTATAGCTTTCTGTATGTGAAATGTACCACATCTAATTTGTAATTACTATTTACGTATAAGAACAAATTTATTTAATTTTGAGGCGAATGAAAATATCTCTTTCATCCCCTTTTGTATATTGTACCATACTACTTGTCATAATTCAGTAGTTTGCTGATAGTTACACTTTTTATAGCATTCTCCATTATGATTCAAAATATTTCCCTAACTCGAATTATTTCTCTTTTCGTACAAGTATACTATTTTTAAAATAATTCAGGCCATTTCTCATATTTACAGTAGAACTTCACTTCTTTTTTGCTGTTTATTAGACAATATGGATGTCACTCTTTGAATTTCTGTCGATTTTAAACAAATAACCTGTTTTTAAAGGTTAGAAGTCAAAATAATGTTTTATTCGCTATTCGTCACATGACCGTGTATCATCCTTTGATTTATATTGTGCTTTACGAAATTGTCCCTGTTCTGTTATCCGAATTTCTCATCTTCCATTTGATTGCGTTTCTAATGACATAATTGATACTTCAATGCATTACAACTTTGATCGTACCGTTCGCTTCAGAGTGAACATCAACTCTGGGATTCAGGCACATCCATCTGACGAGTCTCAAATAAGAAGGAAGAACGCGTCCTGGGTTTCAATGTCAGCCACTATCCGTCTTTGTTTATAAAGCTTGTGACTTTAGGCAATCTCGAGGCAATCCGCACAGAATGTACATATTCCAATAACAGACTGATCAATTGAAGTCTTAAACTTCAATGGGAAGATACAAGTAAACAACACCAAACGAACAGAGAGTAAAGTGTGAAATTGTCTGTGTTAACTAGAACATTATACCGATGAGTTTGTGTTATATGTTTACTCTTCATTATGTTTGTTGAATTGAGAGGAATTTTTAGCAATTAACTGACGAAATAATCTACAATGACAAGCAGTATTTTCATGAATTGGCTTCAGTTACTCAATTTGACAAAAATCAGAAATGGATAAGGATAGTCTGTCCCAAGTTTATCAACTAAAACTTTAGTATGATTTATGATCAAAAGTGAAATTCTTTAGTTATTAGGTAAACTTACGAAATATATTGTCTTGGATGTTCTTACTGATTTCATAGACCTTGTGAATTTGATTTCGTTGGACAACTTCTGGACATACGCAATGTTTTTGACGACGATGTTGATCTATTGAGTGACATTTATCACAGACTGGAACTATGAAAGATAAGAGGAAAAAGCAGAAATGATCATTTAGTTGTTTAATATAGCACATCAGGTCGAAAAACAAACTTTTTAAATATTAGTAGTCAGTAATTGACTGAAATGAAGTAAAATGTAAATTGGAGTTTCTGATTGAAGCATATCATATATTTTACAGGGGAAAATCGTTGCTTTTGAACTTCAGAATATCTAATTAATTGGTTAGGCGCTCGCGCGCGAAATTGATAGGTCCTTGGTTTGAATCTCTCGGGGAGCCGAATCGTGGATGCACACTGCTGAGGAGTCCCACAATAGAACGAAAGGGCCGTCCAGTATTTCCAGGTTTTCCATGGTGGTCTAGCTTCAATTGACTCATGAGTTCAACTATTCTATTACTATAGTGTCCACAAAACCCCATTCGGATAATGATCTAAGTATTTAAATTATAGAATAAGATTTTGTCCTGGGTTTACATAAATCAGTCATTCACTTTCATTATGGACCAATACAATTTTAGTACACCGAATTTCTAAGTTCTATATCAGTGATAAAGATTTATACTCTGGACATATCAGACAGCTATAAATTATTCACTCCATGGATACATAAACAACAGAATAACTTACTACATTCATAATAATCTAAATATTCTTGATAAATTGGTAAATATCCATCTTGACAAATACACTGTGGTGATAAATAGATATTATTGATCACCTTCCCATTTGAACAAAAAGCGTTTGATGATCGACATAACATATCGATCTGGTTGCAGAACATACCAATGTCGACTGTAAAAGAAAAACGAATAACAGTGAAAGTGAACGTTTTAGAGTCGAATGTATTATTTCATAAGATGTAAGGAAGATATAAACAGAAGAGACATTCTATGTAATTGAATTCATTCAAACGTGATTAAAATATTGAGAAGGAAGAATATATTTATCAAAAATCAACTGATGAACTGTTACAAATGCATTCTTCTTCATTAATGTCTTACATAAACTTGGTGCCTAGATACTGTGAAACTATTCGATCAAACTACAGTACGAAGTCGTACATGGAGGAAAGCTGAAAGGTGCATTCCAAGTAAGAGCCGGAGTCAGACAAGGCTTACTACTCTCCTCTTCCCTCTTTCTTCGCGTAATTGACCGGATTATGAAGACCTCGACACATAAGGGAAAGCACGAAATACAATGAACAACTCAGAATCAGTTAGAAGATTTGGACTTCGCAGATCACCTAGCTATTCTATCCCATACACACGAACAAATGAAGATGAAGACAACTAGTGTAGCAGCAGCCATAACAACAGTAGGCCACAACATACATAGAGGAAAAATCAAGATCCTCTGGAAGATGTGTAATCCTTCACGTATTTGGGTATGATCACTGATGAACAAGGAAGATCTAATGAAGATGTAAATGTGAGGATTGGCCAAGCAAGAGCCATATTCCTACAACTGAAAAACATATGGAACTAAAAACGACTTTCAACAAATATCAGAGTCAAAATCTTCAATACGAACGTCAACACAGTTCTACTATACGGAACTGAAACGTCGAGAACTGCTACTGTGGTGTGTGCTACTTATATTGACATAAGAAGTATATGATATTAGTCGTGAACATGTCTGGAAGCAGAGAGACAAGAGGATTGATCAGTAAAGAATGGGAACAGGATGCAATTTGTATGAAAATGCAAGTACAGTGAAGTCTGAGTCATTTTGAGACAATTGATGGACATTTTGCATATTAAGCATTTACTTTATGGTTGTTGGATTTTATTAACAAGTCCTGTAATTTTGTGTTAAATACATTCGACTATCCCCACCCATGTACTGTTCATTACACTGCAATCATCATCAAGAAAGTACGAGTATTTATAAATAATTGTCTACCCAACATATTCAACATCCATTGGACGGATACCATCAGCATCAGCCTTCTGTGTGAGAGGAAAAACCAGCTTCCAGTTGAAAAGGAAGTTAGGAGAGGACGATGGAAGTGGATAGGACATACATTTTGGAAATCGCCAAACTACTTCATGAGGCAAACCCTTATCTGGAATCGTGAAGGGATGCGAAAAAGAGGAAGGCTAAAGAACACATTACATCGAGAATTGGAAGCGGATATGAGAAAGATGAATATCAACTGGAAAGAACTGGAAAGGATTGCTCTTTACAGGATTGGATGGTGAGTGCTAATGGGCGACCTATGCTGCACGACGAGGAGTAACAGGCGTATGTAAGTATGTATTCGCCCAAATTTAGACGAAAGTTCTTACATACTTGATTGTATTTATGTTGATCACTCGAGCTACCTGCTAAACACGACACTACGGTATATTAGAAAGTTAAACATGTTCTTTTAAAGCGAATAAGATTGTTAGCTTATAACTGTGAATAGGTTTCTATTAATTTTTTAGATTAAATCCATATGTGTTCAGTATGCAGATGGTTCTGGTGAAAATGGAAATGTGGGTGTCCAAACGAAAGCAGGTGGTTTTCTTAGAGATAATCCCCGAGCCTTTGAACTAATGGTCTGATCCACAAGGCAATGGAGCAACGTCAGGGAATGCAGTCTCATGGTAGCGGGTGACCAACAGCAGGTCCACAAACCATTTGTTCTCTCAGGATCCTGGAGTCCAGGTGCACTTTTGGTTTGTGATTGCGGTTTCCTAACTCCCTTATGTGGATCCTTCATATCCATCATACAGTTAAAGCACCGGACATTTTTTTTCTCTAAATTTCGTAAACAACGCCCCATGGTACCAGAAAGCAGTGTGTAGGACGGTCTTGGCAGTGACTGTTTGCACGTGGCCATGTGAGAACATTTAGAGAGGGGGAGCTGACTCTCCCCACTCTCGGTCGTACCAGGGCATTTTGGAGGTTTCCTTGATGAATATCTTGACATCCATATTCAAGTTATTTATTGCTCACTCAGCATTCAAGCAAATAGATCTAGTTCGAATTAGTCAGTCAGTAAGCAGCAACATTGAACCTGTTATATTATTACTTAGTTGCATCGTGCATCACGATAATAGAATGAATCCCAACCAGATATTCTGAAACTTATGAGAATGTTCAGTTTAATTTGGTCACATAGCTCTTATTTATATCAAATCACTTTAAGTGTTGTATTAAGATTTCAGCAATAAATAAACACTATATCTGTTGAGAAGACCCAGAAATGTCCTTAAATATAGCCTGAAGAGGGCCTTGAAAACAATGGGAAACATCTTATAGAATCAGCATTCAATAGGATTTTCTCCGGAACATTTAAAACGTGAAAAGTCACGTGTCACATTTCTGATTGAATAGTTGCCTAACCTGCTTCCATGTTTAGCAAGGTTCCAGAACTTTCCATAAGCCCAAGTCCATCTGAAGTGTTATAAATCCCCTAGATTTCCTGTACATAGACTAACCTTGGAATAAAGAGTTCTTTCTAAATTTCTCGTCTTTTCTCTCATGTTTAAGTTGCCGTGTACATTTACCCTAAGGGTTACTAAAAGAGCTTAAGAAATCGAATCAAGCGTTCAATTAGAAGATTTATCAATGTCATAGAAAAAGGAACATGAATTTTATAACCCATTTTTCCGATATATGGCAGGCAAAACCCGACTCACACGTCCTCATCGTGCCTCTTGGATGGTGGAACTCAGTCCCATGAACTGACGTGAACGGTAAGCCGGGTGGTAGAGATCGTGCTAATCACTCACTCGACCAATACCCACAAAGAATCACAGCACAATTACTCCTGGATCGAAAAATGACAAAAAATTAGCAAAATTGTTACATGGAATGTATGGGGTTTCTCCCCATGAGGCAAACTCCAACCGATTACAAAAACAGCTATTCTAGCATCTGTAGTTGTACTGTGCTTCGATGTGGCCTGTATCTCTCCAGAAGGACCTATTAGACTTCACCAACTTGTTTGGCTGGAAGGAGGGGGGGGAGAAGCATTTTTCTGATTTGTAACTTAAATTGTTGCTAATAACTAGTTCTTCATTGTATTTTAATTATTATTATTAACAGTTTTTTTCTCATTCAACATGTAAAATTAAGGAAAAGAGTAGATGTAATGGATAAAGGTCATGAATTGAAAAAAAAATTGGTTACCATGGTGATCTGGAATTAGTAACTTTGATGAATTTTAATGAATAAATGACGAGTTTCAAACAAAAACAATCAGTTACTAAGCGATATTTTATATTCAATTTTAGATTTTAGATATGTAAATTCAACTTTCAATCTCTTTGAAATATTTACTCTTAACCTTTATATGTTTATTTAGAATGCTCATATATATTGCTCAGATGGAAATAAGATTCTTTTAGAAATAAAACATTTTTCCCATCAATCAGAGTTGATATTAATCATACTAATACTATTACTACCAATACTACTACTACTACTACTACTACTACTACTACTACTACTACTACTAATAATAATAATAATAATAATAATAATAATAATAAAAGTAAGGTTCGTTGAATCCGTTGGCCGGACACTATTAGCAACAACCTACTATGGAAAAGAACAAACCAGATTCCAGTGGAGGAAGAAATCAGGAAGAAGTGCTGGAAGTGGATAGGACACACATTGAGGAAAGCACCCAACTGCGTCACAAGATAAGCCCTCACACGAAATCCTCAAGGCCAAGGAAAAAGGGGAAGATCAAAGAACACATTACGCTGGGAAATGGAAATAGACATGAGAAAAATGAACAAGAATTGGATGGAATTAGAAAAGAAGGCCCAGGACAGAGTGGGTTGGAGAATGATGATCGGCGGCCTACGCTCCATTAGGAGTAACAGGCGTAAGTAAGTAAGTAAGGTTCGTTGAAACTATTTTCAATTCGAATAATGATAGTTTGTTCATTAACCGGTTTCGATGATCAATCAAAAATGAATACTTGTGTATATATACAGTAGGTTAACTGATTTGGATTGCATTAAATTGTATTACGTAATCTACTGTCAGAATAATTGTGAAGTAGAGTAAATGTACAGAAGTAATAAATTAGTTCAACAAAGAAGTTTTATAGGAATGTTTGTCGTTGAAAAGCGTATCTATGAAGTATGGAAACTATATGAACGCTCTCTACTTTGGTATTGTTGATCAAGTTAAAGCTAAAAGTGAACTGATTTTAGGAATATCAGTCTTAACTGATGTTCATCATCATCCTCTCATTGTTTAATTTGTTGAAGATGTTCTCCTAGAATTAGATTTTTTTACGCTTAATTTTTAAAGAGTTGATCTCTTACCATGAGTTTTACTTAACGACCTAAGATGAACAGATGATATGGTCTATTTTTGTGAAGAACGTGGAGTCTCATGATCGCCTTGAGAAACAATGTCAGCATGCTTACGATGCATTTCTCTTACTCTAAATGGAAACTTTTGTGATAGGAATGGTTAGTGTCTACGAATGAACCAGCGATGTGAAGTGAAGTAATTAAGTAAGTTGATCACTATACTTATCTTGAAAGCCTTACTAATCCCGAAGGATTGATGTCGGACGAAACCATAGCACTGATTTAGAAAGCCTGGTTGGTATTTGCTAACTTGTGGTGTAGGTAAGATGTTTGTCTGACAACCAAAAGGTGCATTTGGTCCTCACTAGTTAGTCGTTCATCGTTATATGATTGTGAAATATGAACTTTAAAAGTAGGAGTAAGACTATTCATCAGTTCACTCTCACGACCTTGCATTCGGGAACTGAACCTAAAACCATCATACACGTGCGTAAATTCTTGGTCTTTAGCCTATTGAGCCGGAATCGA